GATCTATAGTTGGAAATAAAATCACTCAAAATTGATCAATTATCACTCATCTTGGTTATCACATGCAACATACAATAATATACATGATACAGTTATATACACATACATAAAGTACAGTGACATACATGTACACTGATGTATATATGTCAATTTACATGTGTACTGCTGTATTTCTTGAATTTGAACTGCTAAAATTTAACATTTTTATAACAAGCTATTGAAGCATCTTCATAGCTTTATTATAAATCACTATGTCAAGTTGCAAAGATATAACTTCACTGTACATGTACTTTTTTCACTTTCAAAAAAATGTAATTTTTAGCCATTGGAAAATCCAGATGCAGTCAGCAGACTGTTATTGACATTTGATCAGGGCTCGCGCACGAAACAGAGAGAGACAGAAGATATGCCGAAACCCACGTGCTGCGAGTGGTGGCGTTACTGTACACCTATAGCCATGTAAACAAACAAATTTCTGCTAGATGTACTCTAACCAAAGAATAAAATGAGTATCAATAGACAGCGCTACCGACTCATGAAAGTCTCGAGATTCATGAGAGAATGGCAACGATATATTTTTAAATAATCGTAAAAGTATCGGTACTGAATAGGCTGTACATCACGCTACAGTTAAAATTTTTAAATTCCGATCACGGCACTGGAAAGCTGAGGAAAACCCAATAAAAAAAGTCAATAAAACAAAATTTTTTTTTTTTGAGATTTTAGGTACCTTTCCCCCCTTAACACCTTTTTGATGCAGTTGCAGGTTTAAAGTTGCAACATTACAACATTTGACTTGAAAATTTGTATGCACACCTAGAATTGGATCATTTATCACTTGACAACTTGATCAGAACGTAACGAATAAAACTCTGAAAATTTTTCTCGGTCATCTCTACTTTTCTAAATTATTATTAATTCATCTGTGGTGGTTTTCGAAGCACAATCGCATGGTAATACACTTTTTCCGAGGTCGAGAAATTGTTGAATATTTATTATTCGCTAATGGTCCGATCGACTTGAAACTTAATTTTTTAGATTGTAAATTGAATTTCAAGTGTCCAGTTAAAATTTCAAGTCGATCGGGCAAACCGTTCAAAAGTTATAGACTCGTAAAGTCACTTTTTCCCCCAAATTTGCCACTCAAATGAGACTATCTCGGGTTCTGGTGGTCGGATTGACTTGAAAATTTGTATGCACACCTAGAATTGGATCATTTATCACTCGACAACTCGATAAAATGCTTACGAATAAAACTCTGAAAATTTTTCACGGTCATCTCTACTTTTCTAAATTATTATTAATTCATCTGTGGTGGTTTTCGAAGCACAATCGCATGGTAATACGCTTTTTTCGGAATCGAGAAATGGTTCAATATCACTTTTTCTCTAATGGTCCGATCGACTTGAAACTTAATTTTTTAGATTTTACATTGAATTTCAAGTGTCCAGTTAAAATTTCAAGTCGATCGGGCAAACCGTTCAAAAGTTATAGACTCGTAAAGTCACTTTTATGCCCAAATTCGCCACTCAAATGAGACTATTTCGGGTTCTGGTGGTCGGATTGACTTAAAAATTTGTATGCACACCTAGAATTGGATCATTTATCACTCGACAACTCGATAAAATGCTTACGAATAAAACTCTGAAAATTTTTCACGGTCATCTCTACTTTTTTAATTATTATTAATTCATCTGTGGTGGTTTTCGAAGCACAATCGCATGGTAATACGCTTTTTTCGGAATCGAGAAATTGTTGAATATCACTTTTTCTCTAATGGTCCGATCGACTTGAAACTTAATTTTTTAGATTTTACATTGAATTTCAAGTGTCCAGTTAAAATTTCAAGTCGATCGGGCAAACCGTTCAAAAGTTATAGACTCGTAAAGTCACTTTTTCCCCCAAATTCGCCACTCAAATGAGACTATTTCGGGTTCTGGTGGTCGGATTGACTTAAAAATTTGTATGCACACCTAGAATTGGATCATTTATCACTTGACAACTTGATCAGAACGTAACGAATAAAATTCTGAAAATTTTTCACGGTCATCTCTACTTTTCTAAATTATTATTAATTCATCTGTGGTGGTTTTCGAAGCACAATCGCATGGTAATACGCTTTTTTCGGAAACGAGAAATTGTTCAATATCACTTTTTCTCTAATGGTCCGATCGACTTGAAACTTAATTTTTTAGATTTTACATTGAATTTCAAGTGTCCAGTCAAAATTTCAAGTCGATCGGGCAAACCGTTCAAAAGTTATAGAACCGTAAAGTCACTTTTATGCCCAAATTCGCCACTCAAATGAGACTATCTCGGGTTCTGGTGGTCGGATTGACTTGAAAATTTGTATGCACACCTAGAATTGGATCATTTATCACTTGACAACTTGATCAAAACGTTACGAATAAAACTCTGAAAATTTTTCACGGTCATCTCTACTTTTCTAAATTATTATTAATTCATCTGTGGTGGTTTTCGAAGCACAATCGCATGGTAATACGCTTTTTCCGAGGTCGAGAAATTGTTGAATATTTATTTTTCTCTAATGGTCCGATCGACTTGAAACTTAATTTTTTAGATTGTAAATTGAATTTCAAGTGTCCAGTTAAAATTTCAAGTCGATCGGGCAAACCGTTCAAAAGTTATCCAAATTCGCCACTCGAATGAGACTATCTCGGGTTCTGGTGGTCGGATTGACTTGAAAATTTGTATGCACACCTAGAATTGGATCATTTATCACTTGACAACTTGATCGAAACGTTAAGCTCAAGAAAACGGAACTATTAAAAACATTGAAAAAACCTTAAATTTCCGCCTAATAATATTGAGATTTGGCCTAAGAAGGTCATTGCGCATGCGCAGGCCTTATTAACCGGAAATGTAATATTTTGAATTTGGAAAATTTTGTTATTTCGTTATAACTTTGTCAATTTTCATCCGATCTGTACGAAATTTAGCTTGAATTCGAACAACTCTATTAGAAATCTGTATCAAATGCGACTCAGGCTCAGAGTTAACTATAACTAGTATAAAAATTGAGAAAACCTTAAATTTTTGCCGAAAAATATTGCGATTCAGCTTTATTTATGTATACGTATTGTTTGACTTTTGTTTGGTAAATAGAATATTTTCGCAATTTCTAAAGTGGTCTTTTTTTATCATTACTTTGTCAATTTTCTTTCAATATGCACGAAATTCTGCTTGAGTACGTACAACTGCACTAGAATTCTGTCACGAATACTTACAAGGGGCAAAAATAACTATTCATAATATTGAAATTGAGAAAACCTTGGAATTTAGCCGAAGAATATTACGATTTGTCTTAATTCGGGTCCATACGCATGGTCCGGCCTATTTTTCGAAAAGGGAAGATTTTTAATTTTCAAAATTGTATTTTTCTGTCTTAATTTATTAAATTTTCATCTGATCTTTACGAATATCAGCCGGAAAACATGCAACTGCACTAAGAATTTGTAACGAATACTTCCCAGGGGCAAAGATAACTATTTCTAGTATTGTTATGGAGAAAACCTGCCATTTCTGTAACAAACTACGAGAGGGAGTTATGACGACGGATTACTTTATTTGTAGTCCTACACTGACTTGAGGGTCGGGAGCGAGTATCCGAGTACTTTGAGAAATAAGGACCACCTTTATATATATTGCTATCAAATGTTCAATTTATACACAGGATTTGCGTGATTGTTGAATAATCAAAACAAGTTGGTATAAGAATCATTCCATTTATTTGTTGCATCTTAAAAAATTCACAGACAGTTGACAATTTTATTCAAGGCATAAAAGTTGACGATTCATTTCAAAATTATTGTTCAGCATTTTTCCTCGAATATTTATGTTTTTACTGAACTCAATTGTATTTGAGACAAAGCCGTTTTTAGTTTTATTATTTTAAAGTTGCAAATTTAGAATCAAATAATGTACAAAAGTCATTAAAATATCATAAACGGGTTTAACAGAGGTTATTTGAACGCACACAGACAACATATACATGAATAAAAATATCGTAAATGTATAGCAAAATCGTCAATACCAAAATAATGGTTTTAAATACTATAAAGAGCTATACTCTACGAATAATAAGACACTACACGTATTATCGACTACTTTATCGCATTAGATCGATATAATACATTTTGAAACATACTTTATAGCACTGCGTGGCATAAGTTCACATCTATCGCACGCTTTTCGGTGGCATAAGTCGCACATTCTAGCACCGCAGCGTTCGCATCACACTCACATACGCTCGTGCGCTAACGTCACTTTGCGGTACCAGAAAGTGCGACTTATGGCTCGGAAAAGGGGGCATATATGTGAACTTTGCACAGTACTATAAAATTTACGATACTCGTCCATAAGGGACACTTTTTGGCCCAGCCATTAGCTAAACTACGCCGTGCCAAAAAGTGTTTCTCATGGCACAATGTATCGAAAATTACTAGTATGACACTCGTGTCAGAACTTTGGACCCGAGCGCAGCGAGGATCTTGATATTACTTTTAGAAAATGACTTCTATTTCACCAGTTTCATACTCAATTCTATAGCACTATGCTAAATTCACACTTGAGTCTGCTTTTCCGAGGTATAAATCGTACTTTCTGGTACCGTGGAGTGAACTTAGCGCACAAATGTAGCGAGTGCGATGTAAGCGATGAGGTTACTTAAAGTGCGACTTGCCACGCAGTGCTTTTAAGTAATAATTACGATTTCAGATTCATAAACAGTCCTTCACGGCACAGCATCGTTTAGTCCATCGAATACAACAACTGGAATAGATGGGAAGTGCATCTGATGTAAAAAAGCGTGCAATAAATGTTAACTCTAGTCATGCAGTGCTGAAAATGATTGAGATTATACAGAACTCAAAATTATGTTGAAGTATCTTCTCAACATTTAATCTTTAAGATCATGTACAAAAATTGATTATATCACCGCGTACTCTACAAAAACTGTATCTTTTTATTTGTTCAGAAAAAATTAATTCCTCAGTCACTAATTCAAATTTCTAATTTTCGGCAACGAGAATGAACTAAAATATTTTTATTTTCGAAGTTTTGATTGTGATTTAAGCCGTCAATTTTATGGAAAAAAATTAAATAATTTAAATTCAACCCTTTGTATCAATTCTTTATTTACAGAATCAATTTTTTCAAGAATTTTATAAATTTTATCTTTAAAAAAAATTAGAATTTAAATGCAGGCTCTTCATATTTCAAGTACCATACATGAACTTTTGAGGTATTTAATTTGCGGGAATTGATATAATTATTTACATTTATATGTAATATAAAAATAGTAATACATTGAAGAAGTATGGGAGTAAACGTTTTTAACACTTATCTATTTTAAGAATTTGATGATTTAAAATTACGTTATTAAATAAAAGATTTTAAAAATTATAATTTTTAAATTTCAACTAAATTTGATAAGTTAACTAACATTGTTCCAAAGTGTATAAAATGTTATTTGAATTTTAGATTTTACATCTAATTTTTTATTAACTTTCAATTGTGAATATTTTTTATATCTTTCACAAGGAAATTAGTTTTGTAATATGAAAGATAGTCTTCGTCGCCTTTGTAAGACTTATATTATTCGTAAGCAGGGTGATCACAATTCACGTTAACATATTTATCTAATAATTATATGCTTGTTAGAAAAAGCATTATTGAGTTGAACATTAAAAAGGCACGATAGTACAAAGTAGTTGTATAAAAAAATTTTCATGCTTATCATATATAATTGGTTCTCTGTAAGGAGTAATTTGTTTGAGGATTTGGTTGCATTTGCATTACTAAATTGTGAGATTCCTTTCTTCTTTTATAATTGGATTTAGCATCGAGAAATAGAAAAATTGCTCCAATGCCATGCAACATCATTGATATAACAGCCAAACCATAGGACCAAGATAAATAATTAAAATTTGGATACATTAAAAAATCTCTCCTCCAGCATTGTGCTCCAAAAACAGTGACTGACAAAAATAAAAGGATGCCTGAAACATAAAAAAATTTCATCATAATATATCTGCAAAAGAAGAGATCAAAATAACTTACTTGTTATACTGTTACAAGATGCGACAATAGTTGATAAAAACCATTCATTTTCCAGCACCATTTTTAGAGGAAATCTAATCAAAATCAGAACAAGGATAACTTGACCAGAAAAAGATAATATTAAGCTGATGGTGACCATTGCTTGCACTACCATGAGCCATCCCGGTAGTAACCATTCTCTCAATACGAAATATTCTTGAGAAAATATATGATGACAGTTATTAAATAACTTATCAAATTGATAATATGGATATCGGAAATTTTCAAAGCAGTATTCCCATAGACCCATGTGTTTGAAATTATTAAAAGTTTCTTCATATGACTGTATCCAGTACGGGCTGTAAAGTAAAGTTTTTTTATAAATTCTAAAAAGGGAAGTATACAAAAAATCAAGAAAAATAAATTAAAATTTTAAACAGTTCCAGACACTCGTTGTTTTGTACTTCAATCTTAACAACACTATTTTGATTAGAAATAGGTTTTTGAAATAATTCGTATGTAACTTGACCAAAATTATTTCATTAAAAATGTTCAAAGACTTATATAAGACTTTATATTGTAAGATTTTAATTGATACGGTTCAGCGAGTAAAAAACCCATTTGTTCTTGAGACATTCACGACAATTTATATTTCTCTTCTTTTTCAAGATACTTAGTTCAGATTTAAGCAAAAAGTACTTTGAATTATCTTTACAAAAAATGAAATCTAACATATTTATAGTTCTCTCGTAATCCTTAAAAAATTGGATTTTCTTTTTTTTTCATTTTGCAGTGGTTTAATCTAACCTTTCAAATAAATCTTGTTTAAATTATCGTATTTGGAACCATATGATTTTTTCCATCTTTCTAGTATACTTTATTTGCCTAAAACGCAGTACATTAGTCAAAAATTGATTTCAACGACGAGCATTTGTAAAAATTCGATCTAGTCGATCAGTCAAGTCGACGCGACTGAGTGACTTGATCTTCAGAAACGAGTCTCACTTCAGAAATATCATTTCAGACAATGTAAAACTTTTTAAGTTAGCTTGTAGTTTTGTAAAATATACAGGATGATCAAAAACTGTCTTATATTAAAATTTATGTGTAGATCTTTCAAATAGTCCAAAATTTAACCTAGGTATCAATTGAATTTTTGAGAAAGAGCTAAAAAAAGTTAATAGTTGATTATATGACCTTATAGAAGATGGCACAACATTTTTAATGACTCTAAATAAAATTATAGGTGTCGGTCATTTGCAAATTTATCGAATGGCCGTATACCTACTTTGAATGTGGGTAACACCACTAGATGGTGCCATAAAGAAGAAGAAGAAGCAAATTTATCGGTAGAATAACAAAAAAGATTTCAAAAAACTCTTGCGAAAATCGGTTGCCAAATCTCAATTAATATGTGTATCAAATCAATGATATTTGTTTCGTATTATTTATTTATATATTGTGTTTGCCATATATTAATATACGGTCAACACTATAAACATTTATAGACAAGATTTTTTGTCAGTATAAAAAATCCTCCTAAAAATAGGCCCTAAAGCCCATTCGATTAAACTAAACACAGGAAGTTTTATTATTAGATACAAGGAGGTTCCACACAATTTTTAGGAAAGATCTGTCATTCGAAGGTGGAAAAGTCTCTTTGTTAGTAGACTAAGATTGTGGGAAATACTGTCTGCAGTTATAAAATTGATTTTAAGACACTCACCTCGTGAAAGATACTAAGAGTAACAGCCCAGCTACATACGTTATAGAACCTCCAAGGACGACAGCATCTGGAAAATAAATTTTAATATATATATAATTACTATCGACTTTTAGTTATTTTAATTTGCCAGCGCAATTAAGTGCTTATTTGAACAAGTTTTGGAATAACATTATTTCGGTTTTCTGAGACGTAAGATGCTGTTTTGGTTAAGAAACAAACATAATATTGAACATACGATAGCGTCCACACTTAAGGGGTCTGGAGCGATAAATCGACAGACTTAAGATCGCAATAAAATTTTCAGAGATTGTAGTTTAAGAAAAGACAAATCGATTAGCAAAAAAAATCGGGGTAAACGACCAATATCAAAAGATATTTGGCCTTGAAATTCGGCGATTTAACATGGACCCGTATGGAAAGCTGCATTCTTTTGAATCCTGTAAGCGTTAAAATCTTAAGGTCACGTTTTAAGTTATACTATTTGAAAGAGAATTTGATAATCTTTCCAATGATATAATTATATACCTAGGTAAACGAGCATTTTAGAAACGTATCGCGAGTTAAAGACTTTTTTAAGTTGAAGAATTTTTATATCCGTATAAGGTGCATGACATGTCACGCTACCTCACGGATAAACTCATCGTATTTCCCTTCAAAAACATTCGAGTTTAAATTGGCATTGCGCACATATGAGGCAACTACTTTGTAGTTGTTTTTTATAATAATTATTCATTTCAATTGTTGTGAATTGATATTATCATTGAAACGTGGTTCGAGAAAATCACGCACGACATCTTTTCCAATCCAAAATCTTTACTAAGGCGAAACTTCTCGTTAAAATTGGGCACGTTTGTTTGGTTATCGAGGCTTCCTTGGCTACCGAACTAGAAAATTTGAAGCTACACTAATGTATAGGGCTATATCGGGTCAATTGCCCCCCCCCCCCNATTGCCCCCCCCCCCCCCCCTCTTGGATCAGAGTTGGAATTTGGTTAATAGCACTACATGGCTAAATTTTACGTTTAAGGCACGCTTTGCCGTGACTTAAGCTGCTCATTATTGCGGCGCGCCTATCGCACTCGCTACGCTCGTGGGCTAACCTCACACCGCGACGCTATTATGAGCACCTTATATCTCGCCATAAGGCGCCTAAACATGAATTTAATACAGTGCTATTCGCTCTGAGTATTTGGGCGGAGCTTAGAGTGGCGCTACAGTCACCATTTACACGTAATCTTATGGAAAAACTGGACGCATCCTAAGAAAATGCCAGCGTCGGCCGCTCGAACTAAATTTTTTCTTACGAGAATTAACATGAGAAAACGCCACGCTGTGTGAACGCTCGGGGCCAATAAAAAAAGTAGCCAATTTTTACCACGGCACTCGCTTCGCTCGATAGCTAACCGTGCCGTGCAATAATGGCCTGCTTAAGTCACACGTATCATACATAATATACTAATTTCATATCTTTTTCTGCTTCTGAAGGGTGAATATGAAAAAATTGTTGAACATAATTATTTGTGTAAAATTTGATGAGGAATTTAAATCTGTCTTCCAAAATCATATTTATAACCTCAAAATCCCTAAATTATAAAAAATAGTCTAAAGGCCAAAAATAAACATGTTAATATCCAGCGATTAGGCCAATATTGTAATATGTTCATCGATACATCAAAATTCATCAGAAGTTGTATTTTATTGTATCGTTGAACATATTACAATATTGGATTATTTTTTATTGTTTAGCGATTTTGAGGTTATGAATAAGACTTTTGTTAGGAACTGGAAATGAATGTAACATTTTATTATATTATATTAAGGGCTCAAAGAAGGCTTAAATATTTATATATTTCTATTTATAGTATCAAGCTGAAAAAGTGAAAAAAAATTTTTTTCAGAAAACAGGCATAAGAGCCTTTTTCAATACCCTATTTGAAAGTACTTTGTCCAGTTAAATACTTACAAACACTTAAATTAATTGGTATAAGTCTATGAACCTTCAGCGATAAGCATTTGGGATATCTAAGCTGTTTGCCGTAAGATTCCCAATGTTTACATGACACGATTAAGTTGAAGGTCATTTCATTTTCTTTGATGGATCATTATCCATCAACGCAACCTCAAGCTAAGCATAAGATCAACTTTGGCTACTTCCTCATACAATTTAATAGAATATTTTATTCATTAATGATCATTTTTGATAAATTTTAAAGGTTTTAATTCTTACATTATAAATATGTTTCATAAATATTATAAAAATAAAAATACAATAATAATAAAAAAGAATTATGAGAATCAAGATTATTCTAATCACTAAAACAAATATTTTTTGTTTAAATCTTAACATAGGTTAATAATAATCTTAATATAGGTTAATTGCAATAATTTCTTCATCATTTTTATCAACTACCGCATTTTGACTGTATAAACACATTTATAATTGAATAATAAGAAACAATAATAAAAAACCAAAAAACGTCAATTGAAGTTTAGTGCTTTCATAACATTATATATTAATTGAGTATTGCATGTTAAAACATACTCAAAAAAATTTCAACATATGAATGCAGTAAACCCAAATTAAGTTATGTTTGAGTAACGCATTACTATAAAATGAATGAACTGTTAGATTCTGTCAAACAAACTAATCATTCAAATAATTATTACAGTTAGTTATTTATGTGATCGATACAGTTCATAATATTAAATAATATTTTATTCAAAAGAAAATTTCCACAAAATTAACAGTAGCTTGTAAGTACTTGTATTGATCAATTGATAATATGTCATACAAGCTAGATGTTTGCATAAATTTTCAAAAATGGAATTATTCTTTCAAGAAAGCTAGGAAATGTAAAACAAATTTTTTCGTATTCATTTATTCATTTCATGTAAAACAATAGTTGATTATGATGAAAGATTTTTATATTTATAGAGTGACTGTAAATGAGAATAAATTTTACAACTATTTCATAATATATTAGTTCTTACAGGTGTTAATAAAATACTGTTATCATGTTTGAGCAATAAACATGATAAATTTAGTACCCTGCTATATAAAAACCAGAAACCTGACATATTTGTTTATTAATTCCTCAGAAAGCTAAACAGAAATCGAAATGTTATGAATAACTTACTAGATGCTTTTGGGTATTCAATCATGATGCCAGCTATAATTAAAATATGTTCTTAAAAATGAAAGTCAATGATGGTATTTTAACATTTTGAAAACATTGATGCATGTATAATTGAAGAACCAGAATGTAAACTAGCCACGCCTAACAATAACAACAGTGTTGATAGTAGGGTTCTTTTCAATATTAAGGTTCTTTCAAATTCACGAATACACTACATGCATTGACTCTGTTCTGTGGAACGCCAACATTTCTTACATATTTATTCATGTTCCACTATTCCTCTTTACCGGACACGGGACAGAAGCAATCTGAAGCGATTCTACGTTAGGTTCCATGTTTATATAGTATGTTGCTTCGATATTATTATCGATGTATTATAATATTATTTCTAGAAGCCAGTGGTGTGAAATCATATAATTGACAATTCAATGTGAAATCGTGCAATAGTTGGAGTTGTACAAATTATTTTTTTGAGTTGAATATTACACGAAAATTATACGTATGGTTTTTGAATTCTGTCCTATGGAACAGGAATTGGAGCGTGTATAAGCATATACAAAATTCCACAAAGCATGGTATCGAATAAGAGTAAATATATCTAGTGGCTACATTTAGTTTACAAAATTACAGCGATTTATAATAGAATAAAATGTTCGTTATAAAAATATTGACTTCGATATTCATCAAATGGTTGTGTTTATGAACGCTCACTATCAAAACACTCGAACAGCTTGAGCATTATTCCTTATTTCATGTTTGAGGTTTGATCATGATTTCAATTCCCTCAATACCCTGTCGTGTATGTATGTACGACTCTTAGTGTAGAGCTCTTAACGCTGAACACGTGGTTATTAAAAGTGAAGTCTGCCGACAGAATTATTATTCATCACTTGAAAGGTTGATGACTATAATCTGCAATTAAGTGATTGTTTTTAAGAAGAAATTAAATATTTTTATCAATTGAAATCAAGGAAATTGTGTTCAGAATTTGATATAGTGAAACTCGCTGGATTACTTTTGTAGGAATTATTTATTTATCCCATAATGATGACAAATCAAGTAAAAAATTGTTACACTAGTTGCTGTTGCAATAGATTACCTCATACAGCCGACTGGGGAAAGAATGAGTTGATATGTTTTGCATCTTATCATTCAGTTGTAGTATATGATCCAAAATTAAACAATTACGGATTAATTTTATCCACCTTACATGGGCACAGTGATAGAGTAAATAGTGTATTTTGGATAAAGACTGCTCCAGGTAGATCAGAAAATGAAATTGTGTCCGCATCTTCAGATGGGACGGCTATTATTTGGACTTTTACCAATAAGGAGTGTACATTGTACACAAATAAAGTTCTGAAAATGAATCAATCCATCAGTTATTGTGATGCTATTTATCTTTCACCATCAAATTGTGATAAATTAATTGTAACATATTCTATAAATGGCAACTTATATGTATGGTTACAAAAAAGTAATAATGAAGCTGTTATAATTCAAAAGATAACATTTCAAAAGGCTATATTAACAGAGTTAAAATTGACCCTTTTGCCAAATAAAACAAAAGATTATGTGATGCCTCTGCTGCTGGCAGCAACAGATGAATGCTCAATATCTTTATATTCAACTGAATTAAACATCAGCCAAAAATCAAGCAATAAGTAATCACCTTTTTTTCGTTATTAATTACTTTTATCATAAACTTGACAATTAAAAAATTCAGATTTATAATAGATCTTTAAATATAGATAAAATTGGTAAAACCACTTAATTTTTTTTACAGAATATTCCATGGGTTCCAGAAAATTGAAACTCTTAGCGGATACAAATGCTGGATTACTAGCATTGATACTATTTACTTGGATGTAAATACTTTGATGGTAGCAAGTGGTTTACAAAATGGGATGATTTATGTGTGGAAAATTGAACTCAATGAACATGAATCTCTCGTGTCAAATGGTGTGAAATTAAAAAAGCAGCAGTTTTTCTTAGCAAAACAAAAGTATGAGATAACTTTGGATAGTATACTATCTGGCCATGATGCTTCAGTAAATGGTTTACAGTGGAATCATGGAGTGGATTTTAATTCAACATCAGAAAAAACATTAAAATTGCTTTCATGTTCTCAAGACAAAACAGCTATTATTTGGAAAGAAAATAAAGAATGCAAAATATGGTCAGATATAGCAAGACTTGGAAACATTAGTGATAATTCATCAGAATATTATTGTTGTAGAATGAAATATGATGGAAAATCTATTCTAATTACTGATTATTATGGGCAATTGCATTTATGGGAATACGAACCTGACTTGAATGTATGGAGACCTCGAGTAGCACCAGGTGGACACTTCAGCAATGTCGTGGATCTCTGTTGGGAACCAGATGGAAGGTAATATATTTTATATTTATAGGCTGATCCTAGAATACTTTTATAAGAACATTTGTTTATTATTGATTTACTAATAATCTAAGATATCTAGTATGAATCTAACTAAAATTATTGCTACCATCAATTAGAACATAGAATCTTATGTGAAATAAATACTTGTCTTACTATTTTGAAAAAACAGCATGACATAATGCATGCCAAAATGGGTCAATTTTCATGATCATAAAACCATGGAATTTTTATATTATGTAATTAATAATTACTATAATTACTAATTATTTAATATAAAACTGATATATTATGTAATCAACATTATAATTTCATAGTTGTTTTGAATTAGTTAAATAATTTTCAAAAAAATTGGAAACTTTAGAAACTTAATAAGATAAATTTTGTTCAAGTTTCTGAAATATTTTTTAAAATTCCTGCTTCTTACATATATGACTTCTTGGCTTACTGGTCAGAACACCAAAGGTTTAATTTCTAGGTCCCTTGCTTGAATCTCTAAACTGCATCACTATAGAAAATTATTTACAATTTTTTTAGAAAGCTTAAAACTTGAATTATCTGAAAAATTTCATCGATAGAATAAATATGTAATTACTTTAACTACAATATGTTGAAATTTCTTTGCGATAGTAAAAGATTTACAGATTAGCGTAAAGATTCATAAATGAGTGTATTGATCTTAAGCAAGCTATTCCTCGCAAATACAACTTTTTTGTCTTATTAAACTTGTATCTGTAACTTGCTCATAATTGTTGATTTTATACTTATCATTAATATAGTATTCAATAATAATCAAAGTAATGAAGGGTATTGGAAGATTTATCTGGCCTTTAATCATAATAAAAAACCTTTGATAATTTAAAAAAAGTTTAAGAGTAAATACCACAACTGTAATATAAATCACATTATGTAATATGACTGGTAAAATTACAATTTTCAATTTTCAGATATCTTATAACAACAAGTTTAGACCAAACCACACGAATTCATGCCCCTTGGAAATTAGATAATGGCGAATATTCTTGGCATCAAATTAGTAGACCACAAATTCATGGTTACGGTTTAACTAGTTTGGCTATTTTAGGTGCATTCAAATTTGCTTCGGGTGCAGAAGAAAAAGTGATTCGTGTTTTTGAGGCTCCTGAGGTTTTCAAAGATTTTTTTAGAAATTCAAATAGTTTTCTACAAGGATCGGTAGCTTCAACCTTGCCAGTATTAGGTTTAACAAATAAAGCTATAATTCAGAGTGAACCACAAGTAGAGTCAAATTTATTGAGATTGAATGAAAGATTTGATGAAGTAACTAATTTCAATGTCCCACCTTCAGAAGGTGTACTAGCTCAATTTACTTTATGGCCAGAAGTGCAAAAATTATATGGACATAATTATGAAATATTTGCAATGGCTACTAGTAACAATAAAAAATTATTAGCGACATCTGCTAAAACAAAATTATCAAAGGAACATTCAGCAATAATACTGTGGGATACATGTACATGGTCACAACATCAAAAGTTAAGTTCCCATGAACTTACTGTCACTCAAATTGCATTTTCTCCAGATGATCAATCTATAGTTTCTGTTTCTCGAGATAGGAGATGGTCACTTTTTTGCAAAGAAAAAGATAAGGATACTTATACACTACAAAAGATTTCTAATAACAATTTTCACACACGAATTGTCTGGTGCTGTGCTTGGACACATGATTCAGCTTATTTTGCTACTGGTTCCAGAGATGCTCAAGTTGGTATTTGGGATAAAAATTCTAAAGAATTCGAAAATTGCTTACCAGTAGCAAAATTAAAGTTTTCTAAGGAAGATTCTATAAGAGCGATAGCTTTTAGTCATACTTCATTGCCACTTGAATATATTTTAGCAATTGGTTTCGAAAATGGAATTATTGATTTGCGAAAATTAATAAGATCAAAAAACACGTATGAGTGGATTCCAATTACTATTTTAAGTCAATCAATAGCTCATCATCTTGCTATAAGAAGACTTTCTTTTCGACCAAATTTTACGAAAGAAAAAAAATTACAATTAGCAAGTTGTGGAGATGACACTATGGTAAAAATTTTCGATATATATTTGGAATGATAATGCTATGTAGCAAACATTTTTTAATTTTTATCATTTTTTGATTTTGATCACTTTAACAGTGATTTTGTACGTAATATTTGTAATATTAAGTAACTTATAATAATGTGTATGTCAAGAATAAAGTGAATTTCTATTTCTATGAACAATTCGAAACAAAAAAAAATTTTTCATTTACCATTACTTTCTTTACTCTAATCCTTCAACGTGATCAAACATTGTTTAATAGAAATAACTCTTCTTGATGCTTCGGTTCAAGAAGAGTGAAGTCAAATAGTAAAAAAACATGAAAAAAATATTCTCATATTTTTTGGAGAACTTTTTTGAAAATCGATTTCGGTTTTTCAGTTGCGGCACGTGTTAACTATTACCTTTTAGACTCATTTACGAATTTTTCTCAGTTTTTACATTTCAAGAACCAGAATCAACGTCTGGAGCGAAGATCGGAATAACTTGGGAAATAACAACCGGTCTAATGTACATGGCCGATTCTCTGTGAATTAAGTCGAATGACCGAAAAAAAATTTTTCTGTAATTATCAAAATCTTTTTTTTTCGATGTCAGATTTGTCCCAAAAAAATTGTAGATAAATTTGGGCCTTCTATGATACTTTTTCTGCGGCCGAAAGTTGGCCACTTTGACGTTTTTTCGAAATTCATAAAAAATCGCAAATATTCAAATAATTCCTAGATCAACGTAGAATGATTCTAAAGTAAAAGTGACCATGAGCTGGAAATTATCCAAATTTTTGCTAGCTTTTCGCAGCGGCGTGTTTATAAACGCTTTGTTATTTTAGAAACAAACAATAACATAACAATACGTAATGCAAGACAGTTTACAATAAGACTGAGCTATTTAACAATTCACAAGATAAATATTTTTAACTCATTTTCAGTGAGAACTTAGATTCACTAAATTATAAAATATATTTTTGTTTAATTTAATTATTTTTTTTATTTATTGACCGTAAGCCAAAAACGATTTTACATATTAACATTTTCGTAATTTAAAATATTCTTTGAATTATTAGATTTTTTCGAAACTCATTTTCATCCGTGAAATATCATCCTCTGCTGGCCATGCTTTTCCAATGTTTGGATCAATCTTTACATTCATATCGTCGATATAATGGCGATTAGAATTATTAGTCAGCCTCATTGCTTTCCGCATCTGCAAAATATTAATAAATAATTTGTAAATATATATTTTTTCAAGTTTTTTCAAGGGGAATACATACATTTATTCACGAAGAGATAGAAAAAAAGAAAGAAGATGAAGAAAAGAAAAATTTATTTAAAAAAGTTTCATAAAGCAATAAGAAGAGAAAGGTTGGAGTACATTTCCCTCCCCATCGAAGAGAAATTGAATAGTGGAATTTTAGAAAATTGTTCGAAAATCCACCTTTTGCTGGTTACTTTTATTTGATACCATATTTGATATATTTTTGATTAATTGTAGTAATATTCTATAATTAGTAAAGGAAATTATAAAGTACCCTTATAAAAATTTCCAATTGGATCCCGCGAAATTCCTATTGGAAACCTATAGGACTCCTGTAGGAATTTCGCGAGATCCTATAGGAAATTTTTATAAGGGTATTTAAAACGGATGAACCTTCGATTTTTTTAACAGTATGACGGATTGAAATGTGGTTTTGTGCATTTGATTTATGAGATCGACTATAAATTTTGTGAACAAATTTAATAAGGGATGAATGAAAAACTGTATATGGGCATAAGAAAAATTTTTTTTTATTTTATTTACAATCTGTCTATAAGTATAGACAATGGGTAAATGTTGTATAAATATGCGAGAAAAGAACACGTGGGAGACTATGTCCAATGACATATGCTCTGATTAACGTTACAAAAATTAGAAAAATTACGTAGTTGCTAAAATTATTGAGTTTACAAAGTTATTCGGTTCTGATTTACAGAATTCTATGGGTTTTTAGTCTTGTAAGGTGGAATAAGGTGCATGCGAGTCTATTAGGATGACTCAAAAGTCGATCTTTATACTTGGCTGAATACTTGATTATTTCTGCTTTGACTTAATAGATACGTTTAGGTATTTCTTGATGTCTTCATGTGTAACGTATCATGGTGCATTGACGAAAAATCTCAGGGTTTTAGATTGAAATCTTTCGATAATATCAACGTTTGAATTGGTAGGCCGCCCAGAGCTGAATACCGTACGTCCAGATAGGTTTTAGCATGCTTCTATACGATAGTAATTTGTTATCCAGTGTTAGCACAGAGTTTCTTCCGAGTAGCCAGTACATTTTCCGTGTCAGCAAGTTAATTTGTTTTCTCTCGGTCCAGACTTGGGCTCTCCAGGTGAGATGCTGGTCCAGGTACATCCCTAGATATTTAACTATGATGCTCTGAGGTACAATTATTATGTTAAGAAGCACGCCTGTGCATGCACCTTTGTAAAGAGTGAAGGTTGTGTGGATAGACTTGTTTTCGTTTACTTTAATTCTCCAAGATTTAAACCATTTTTCAACCATCCGGATATGCTCCTGCAGTAGGGTAGATGTAGTTCATGGGCAGTGATGTGCGCAGAGCATAGCTGTATCATCAGCATATGCTGCCGTGAATACGTTTTAATTCGACGGCAAGTCAGCAGTATATGGTTGATGCTAAGGAATGTAAAATCTATATAATACGCGTATGCGTCCTGCACTATAAGGGTGCTGCCCTCTTTTCTTTGTAAATCTGTCTTTAGTTCTCTCATATACAGCGCACCTATACTCAGATCTCTATCGACCGTTGTCGCGAGTGCGTCTTCGCCTGTACACTTTTAATAAACTTATTTGTATTAATTATAAGTACAACGTGACATTATTAAATCTCCTATCTCAATAACATTCACCAAAACAGTTGATTCTCCCGATTCATCAATAATACGTGTCCTAGTGACGCAGGGGCTCGGTGATGAAATAAAAAAAAAAGAAGATCTCATGATGCAGTTGTCTTTGAATAAGTATACTAAACAAATCCCCACCGAAAAAATTTCAAAATTCAACACCTAGCACTTACTACAGTAGTATATAACCATGCCAAATGTCCACTCCGTTAGCTGTCCTAAAGTTAGAATCGTTGCTTTCTTCACGTCATGCGTTTTTTAATGAATACCTAGATATTTTATAGTATGCAGACTTTATTTTATACTTCATATAGATGATTTTTATGTGCCACCGGTACTTCAGGAATCTTTATGAACTTCGTACAGCTATTACAAAAGTGTCCTGAGTTTTGGTCATATTTTTTGGTACTTTAAACATACTACGTTAGAATATGGTATCGCTACCACTTTGAAGCCCCTAATCTGTACTAACTTTCTAAAAAAAGTTATTGTGTTCGATTTACGACAGTTAAAAATGCAAACGTTAGATAATGGCTTCGCAAAAGCGTCAGACGTATCGGCAAAATCAAGCGGTAAAAAAATTTTTCCGCTCCATTAGCAATGAATACTCAGATAATAAAAGTCCGTTTTTAACGTAGAATACGTAGAAATGTTTGTTTTTAAAAACTCTAAATCCTAGTAGTCGGCGAAATTCCACGCATTTAAACTCTGCATATAAGGGACACAAAACAACGATTTGTCCGTACCGTTGCTATTCGCTCCGTTAGCACGTAATACGCAAATTTTTAAAAATGAGTGCACGACGAGCCACGAGGTTAATGGTGACAAATAACAATGCTTTAATGCCACAAAAAAATTGAAACGCGCTACAAAGCTACCAAGGCTAAAAAGGGCGTCATGAAAAAAAATCTGTAAGTGTATTGTTACAAATAATCAACATTTCACGTTGTGTCACGGATCTGTACCAAAATTTTTGTGGAATCTCCAGGAACCTAATAATAAAGCTACTTATACTTCGTTTTATTGAATGGATCTTAGGGCTCATTTTGAAAGGGATTTTCTCTTTTATTTAAAAATTTCGAGATTTTCTATATCAAGATACAGCGTGGGGGCTAACACACTGCCTTGCCGTACACCAGCGTGATTTTTATATAGGTTGGTTGATTCATTTTTGATCTTGACTTGGAACGTTCAGTTTTCCAGATAGGATTTTAATAGCTAGTAATGGCATTTTGGGAAATTCATTTTTATTTTATGCTTCAAGCCTGCGTGCTATACCATATCAAATGCTGGAGCCACGCCTAGGAAGACAACTGTATAATACCGTTTATCCTCAAATGCCTTATCGTATGCTGACAATATCGTATGCCGATTCACTTGTTCACTATGCGGAGTCTATTTTTGTCCACAGGAATTTGGAATGAACCGTCTATCCGCAACGCATCTATATAAGTTGTATAGGCTAGGTCGAAGTTTTTGCCGCGGTTAATTCTGT